GGAGTGAGGGGTTTGCTGCTTCCTTCACTCTGACTTTTGCTGTTTCGTTTTTTTTTTTTTTTCTTCATTTTTTTTTTTTTTTTTTTCAAAATCATATAACGTGTTTGGTTGTCGTGATGTCGTCCTATTTCTTTGACGATGCCGTCCTTTTTTCTTTTTTTTTTTTTAAAGTCGCACACCGCTAAATCTTTGTGATCCTCCAATGGTGTTCTACCTGAGATACTGTTCAACAGGTTACCATGCTAAGGAAAACTCAGCGCTTCCAATTTTACAGTATTCATCTTTCGTGGAAAGAATTCCTGCAATTTGTGCAGAGAACGCAGTGCCGTCGAAAGTAAAACAAAGCAATGGAACGTTTTGCATACAAGTTAGAGAGATTTCATGCTACTTGTTACTAATTATCAAAAGTCTTAACAATATGAAAGAAACTACAAGTCGGTGGATACAAATAACAGTCATCCCTTTCCTTTCTAAGAAGTGCACCTTTGGGACTGAGAGAGTTTCCGTTTTAGAGATTTGTCTGTGTTACACGGTGTTGAAGATGAGTGGGCAGAAGAAACGCAGAGACTAATTCTAGTTGCCTGTTTTAAAGAGCTTTCCGTTCTATAGAGTTAAAGAAAATTACTGTACATACCAGCTCTAGGTGTTCGTCTCAAGCATGTGTCCACCTTGTAGAGGTGTCCGTGAAGAGAGAGTTGATTATGTTATCTCGTAACCGTTGGTGTGTGTCAAGCAGTCGTACCGCTCATTGTCAGAGGCACTGGTTACAACTGATCCTTGAGTAACCAGCTGAATTTTCATTGGCTACCATCGAGAGAAATCGATGAAGAATCGGAAGTGGATGTTTTAGGCCCAGTTTAAACGTTTAACTTTTCATGTACCGAACATTATCCCTTCAGTTAAGTACATCAAAAGATCAATGTTTGAATCAACAAAGTCCGATATGTTTAATTTGGGTCGATCCATGAATTTAGTTCGATAGATGCACATGGGAGTTTCAAATGTGGTGCGACGTCGTTCCAAACGTCGAAACCTAATTCATAAATTACTATAATTAATTTTCATTGATAAGCATTGTACACCATTGTATATCGTGAAAATGAATTGAGCCCGACTGATTAAGTTCGACGTATGAATCAACCATCGAACTTACATCATTTGCGTGCAGCAAATAGGGATTGAGTTCGGTATATGAAAAGTTCGACGTTTGAATTGGGACTCCTACTCATTGATTTGATTGTTAAGTTAATTAGTTCTTTTAGAGCGATTTTCGTACAAAATGGTTTCGATAAGTGTTCATCATTTGTTTTATCAGCCACTGGATGAAAAGATCAAAACATGGACTCTTGGTTTTTCCGGCATAGAAAACCCTAATGTTGAGAAGGCATTGTTCGATTGGCCAATCGTGTGCGTCAAAGCGAAGTATCGGTTGATTTCTTGGAAGTTCTCGGGCATGAAGTTTTTTCACCCGAGCGTTCGCGTAACCAACCAAACGCCACGCGGGTTTGTATCCGTTAGATAAACCGATGAAATCGCTCTATTTCCGTTCGTTTGTTGTTTCTGTTTTGTTCGCGCGTTTTCATTTCAAGGTCAAACGAAAATCGCTCTAATAATTAAGGACACGTACATAGTATAGATAACTCTTGTTTGTTTACGGACAGTTCTACTTTTCGCAAAGATACCAAACTCTAAACATCTCCTACACCTTTACAATTGTTGGCTTAGGAGGGGTAGGTGGACAGTTTCCCAGAAACGTATAATGATTGCAAAAAGAAGGGGTTAGGCTGATCCTCTTTTAGAGAAAAATATCTGTCATGTCTAACGAGGAAATTATCGACGGTTAAGAAAGCTTGAAAGATTTTATGCCCACAAATATGGCCTGTTACATTTTATAACTGAATCTGCATGTTATTTACTTTTGATAATTCATTTTAAACAAACATCCCCGTCATTTTTGCATGACAGTCCCTCACTGCTGGGGGATAGCGATATGTAAATTGTAAGGATGTTGTCGGGATCTATTAACCACTGACATCCTTTATATATCATTTTATATAATCTTAAGAGTTTGTAACAGTTGTAATCGAGAGATGAATCTTAAGTTTCTTCGCCTGCAAGTACATCTCTTAGAGTTTTATGGTACTGAAACAAGCGTAATTTGTCGCCCATGATATTCTTGTAACCAAATGATATACTACTCATGGAACTAGGAAGTAACGTTTCTTCCGTTTGGTCAAAATCCTTATAATTTACCTCGGCGCGAGAAATTATTTGAAAATTTCAAAAACATCTCCAGATTGTACTCGTCGGTATTTTATTACATGTAGATACGCACGTTATTTAAGAAAAATAAAATATGAGATTAAACAATACCAACTTTATAATCTGATCAAATGTGATCTTTTTCCCAATACCCGAGTTCCCCTGCAAAATGTGTTGAGAAATCGTAAGTATTTGTACCCAGCCTTAGTACTGTTACAGTGCCTTCTTACAGATGAGCTTGATAGGGCTTTTCGGGGATAATAAAACAAATAATAATGGAACATGACATGGTCAAAATTCCAACTGGTATAGGTAGGAGGCGAACCAGGTAGCTATTCTACAAGCGTGGCCAAAGATTTAAACTCTGAATCAAGTCCAGCTAGTGTCCAGGGTAGGACTTGTAATTCGATGGCCACGAGGTCAAGTCCTTCCCGGCACAAGAGTGCTCTAACCCGATTGGGCATGCTGTCTCCACAGGTGCTGGGGACTAAAATGTGACTGGCTGAAATCACGACGGGACGCGCAGAAAAAAGAAATCCTGTTGGGGTTTCTTGCTCTAAGCTAGCATTCTGCTCTTTTATCGCACTACTGTTCGACACTGTACAAATGTATTCAGACAGAAGGCGGTGTTTTATGCAGGTTTCAGGAGCGTAGCCAGAAATTGTTCAGAGTTACGCATAGTTTTTCAAATCAATCCTACTTCGTCTCACAAATTGTTTTCACCTGGGCGGCTTGATAGATATTTTGGTCCGCTGGAACATTGATGTCGATAAATGTGTCCACTCCTGTGTGTCTTTGTGTACTACAGTAATATCTGGACGATTGTGCTCCAGTCGCTTGTCCTTAAAGATAGTCATAACCCAAGTTATACTCACTTCTCTATTCTCTGCAACTGGTGAGGGTTGATGCACGTACTACTTGTCGGTTAACACTCTAGCCCATACTTTCTACAGCTCCCAATGTACCCCTAGAGCCACCTTGTCGTGGCGCTTTCTATATTCTCTATGGACAGGCTTCCTACATCCACTGACAATATGCCATACTGTTTCAGTGGTGTCACCACACAATCAATCTGCACAGTGGTGTGTCAGATGTCTTATCTATGCTGTGCTTCATCCAATTTGTTGTTGTTGTTGTTGTTATTGTTATCATTATCATTGTTATTATTATTATGTAAAATTTAGCACAGGGATTTTCCCTGGGGAGAAATATCCAGTCAAGTCTCATCCCGAGACCTCAGACTTCCAGCACCTTTCTGAGGATATGTGCCGATCCGAGGAGTGCCGACTTTTGCATCGTTCTTGTTCGGTTTTTAATTCCTAGTTATTA